TAATATAATTACAGTACGTGTGAAACGTTTTACAGGATACAACACGCAACGAGCAACGTTCAGCCTAGAAAACGGAAAACAACGTTGGTGAACGAGAGAAGAGTCAAAGTTGGTTGTAATTCACACGCGAGAGAAACGAGGATAATAAGTATTTACAATATAACTATAATCTAGATATTCTCGTGACGATTTGGCCGAGAATAATAGATTAACGCGTTAACAATGATCAGATTCGTAACGAAACGAGAGAAGCCGAGTAATAGATTTGCACGTCAAGATACACGATAATGATTACATCGAGCTGCTTGCATTCGAGGACGACACGGTAAGATTCGAGTTTTACCCTCCATTTCCCCCAAGAATTTTATCTCAAGTATTCATATTCGTATTCATTTTTCTATTCTTTTTCTATTCTATATCTCACGCTGAAAATAGAAGATCGTGCGCATCGATAAGAAACTGGCAGCCTTTCTTCCTCGATCGATCTGAATATTTCTCTCGTTTTCAGAAAATATAAGCTCGAATGATACCGTGGAATGCGAGTCTTCTTTGCATAAGGATAACGAGTTTTCGTTGAAGCGACCCCGCAGATCGTGTCGTGCCTTACTACACGTTGTCAGGTATATCTCGCGAGATAGATACATCATCGTCTGTACATCGTGGTTTAAAACTCTCTTGTTCTCCGACGATCCAGGCACGTGGCACGCGACGATCGTGAATTTATCTCGTCCACGTAGCCGAAAACTTCTCACGTGCCACGTTAGATCGTTGTCACGCCCCTAACGAAATACCTTGGATGGAACGTCTCCTTCTACTCGAGATTCTTTTCGAGAGTTTCGTTCGCTGCGCAATGTAAGGAGCTTCGTCTCGCGGAATTCTGTCTCATCTCATCGAAATTTACCCTTTGGTGCCCCCAACGAGCGCATCTGGCGACATCTTTTATTTTGCGATTATCATTTCTGAAATGATCCTCTCGATAATATTTAACCGTAAACGACAACATCTCGGGGAACAGGCACTTTTCGTCATTCTATCGATCAGTCTCACGGTCAATATATTTTTTTTTAATGTAATCTACTTCGATCACTTATCGATCGAATTTTCTTTATTCTTTATTATTCTCTTCTATATATATAACGAGATTGATTCGTCGAAAGCAATTTCCATCCCATAGCTAGTTAGCAAACGTTTCCAATTTAAAATGCAAGGAATGATATCGTCGCTCCTCCAAGGAGGCACCAAGGGGTTTCCAGGTTAATCGAGCCTGCTTGACCGTAAAAATTTCTTCTGCCTAGCACTTCGAAGCTGGTCCTTCGTTCGTTGGTTCTCCGGTGAACGAGCCGATTACCGACCAACGTTCCACGAGCATCCTGATCACCTCAAGTGGGATCGAACATCCCGGACTGTTACCACTCGTAGTCGTCCTGATGGAAAGGGTTGGTGCATGGTTGTTGAGCGTGTAGATGGGTCACTATCGGCGGTGGTTTAAACAGGTCCAATTCTCTGATCACCTCATTGTAAAGCTGCGGGGAGCATATGAAAAGAAGACAAGGGGAAGATTAAATATAACTCGTTTTCCGGATCGAGATACCGGCGATGATTATATATAATGAAACAGGGGCACGAAAAGAAATAAAGAAAAAAAATTGTTTTTCGCTCAGAGAGTATAGCCTTGCGTAGAAGTTTTCTCTATCTATTCTTTTTTTCTTTCTTTTCCTTTTTTTTTTTTTTTTTTTTTTTTCTAACAAACGTCTTTCTTGTAGACGTTTTAGTTAGAAATGATTTTACTAAACCTGGAAGCTCCTACGGATATACTCGTCCCCTCCATTGCCAGTCATACCGTAATTATATTCGCCTGCGCCTCCGCTGTTCAGAAATGGATTCGTCGGGTTCACTGGGCCTGGTATGCAAATATATTTCTCCGATTACGCACGATAGAGATTAAACAAAAGTACAATAATAACAAAGATATATTGCTTACCGCCATTCGCACCTGGTACACCGAGATTTCCGCCCGTGGTCTGATAAGTAGCCCCGTACCCGGTCTCCTGATTAGCAAGCTCGTGTAATCTGGTCGAGCTGAGGGCACGAGGGATGGCGTTGCTGGGTACGCCGTGCGGCGCCAGGTGGGTCGCCTCCGCTACCTGGTGCGGATCCTCCGTTTGGGGCAATTCGGACACGAAACCGGTGTCCTTCCTGTAGAAGTTGATGAAGATGAACGCGCCGAGGACCACGATGCAAATGAGGCCGTAAGCTCTGAACGTGGCAGTTGTCCCTGTTTCGGAAAAGAGAACATTTTCTCTCGAACTTTTTCTTCTATTTAAGGAATACACGGTATACGTCCCTTATGAATAATAATTTATTCAAGTCGAATCGATATCGAATTTCTTTCTCTTTCTTTCTTTCCTCTGCGACGAAGAGAGTACAGAGCGAAAATAGCTCACCGTAAGCATCTACGAACATGCCACCGATCACAGCCCCGCATCCCCTGCCAAGACCGTGATGGATCCCTTGAAGAACACCTTGCGCGCTCGTGCGCAGTTGAGGAGGCGTGTTGTGAGAGATGTAGCTGCAACACGCTGCCCAGACCGCCGCGTGGGTTATCCCTTGAATGAACTCGAACGGCAACACCCACCACGGGATAGTGAGCCAGGATATGTAGAGGAATCGTAGAACGTTCCCCCCCAGCCCCATGCACAATACCTGAAACCAGTGCGCGCCTGCTTCAGCAACAAGTTACAAATGATTGAAAAAAAATTGGCAAAAATCGTGTTGCAAATTCTTCTCCCTCTTAAAGAGCACAGTTGAGCTACCTTCACGTGGCCGATCTGACGGATCAGTTTGAAACTGAAGAAGTAGGCGAATATCTCGGAAATATGGTTGATGACGGAGGCGACGCCGAAGAGAGTCGGTGTTCCACCGTAATCTTGAAGGTGCCAGAAGAGGAAGGTGAAGATCAANCCGAAGCCCATGAACCAGGCGACGAACAGAAAGGAAGCGCATTTGAGATTCTTGAATTGCTTCAACACGGTCACCCATTCCGGGATCTCTCGCATCGTTTGGGCGAACATTTTCGTCTGGAAATCGATACAAATTGTCAAGAATTCCTTTTTCCACAGCGCGAAACGGATCAACCATTTTAAGGATCATCGAGGATCGCGGAATATACCTTGTCTTCCGGAGGTTGCGGCTTTGGATTCACCGCTGCCGACGAGTCTTGGAGACTGGGTAGATTCAATTGCTGAGACAATTGGCTCTGCAGCTGTTCCTCCCTCGTTGGCTCCGCGGGAGGCTTCTCCACTTCCTGCACGAAATTATTTGGATTAATAATAATTACGCTGCTTCGTGTATTTTATGTACTCGATTAGAGATCGCTCACCGGTTCCGTTATGGGGAAGTCGTACTTGAAGTTGATCTGGGTTGCGGTGATGAGAGCGGCACCCATGAGGACGCTGAAGATCGCGAAGCAGATCGTGTAGTTCTTCTCCCTCGCGTCTGGGCCGCAAGGATGCTCGGAGAAGGCGGTGCTGTGGTCCAACGCGATGCCCACGAAGAACATGGCCAGGCCCCAGCCCAAGCTGCCGAACATTCGCTGGTGACCGTATCTGCGCGGGGAGAGAGAGAGAGAGAGAGAGATGCAAAGAGATCTGGACGGAAACGGGATGGAACGTTTTACCTATCCGCGTCCTCGCCTAGCAATGTGATCACAGCGGAGTCCGCGAGAGTGATGGCGGGGGCCGAGAAGAATTCTCCGACTATCACCAGCAACAACAGGAGGAAGAAGGTTTTTTGGATATCCTGAGCAAACGAGGATTACTTATTCGATTAATTGTTGGAGAAAAGAAAGGAAGAAAATGTGGATTTCGTACCGGTAATCTGTACACGATGGAGCTGAACAGAGGTTTCACCCAACCCTTGTTCTCCTGCTCGTTGTAATTCGCTGCGTAGGACACGGTGTGAGGGCTCTGGCCAGAGTGAGGTATCCTGACGTATCGTTTCGTCCTGACCAATGGCGGTTCCACCTCGTTCTCCTTATCGTTTTCCTCCTCCTCGTCCTCGTTCAAAGACATCTTTCGCAGTTTCTTCATCGTGGACCACTGTTGCCGAGGCTCGAACACGCTCGAGTCGTTCTCCGTCCAAGTTTCCTTGTTCGCGTCTCGTTTCACCATCACCTTGGTGGGGGGTGGTTTCACCCTGGTTTTGGTATGCGTGTACGCTTTCTTAGGCGGTTTCCCGTCGTCCAAAGGTTGATTCTGGAATAAACGCGTTTCCCCTTTTCGAGAAAAATTCCTCTCTCGTGTTCGAAAAGTTTGAAAAGTAAGAAACTCACGTTGAGAAAACGCTTGTACTCGAGCACGTCGGCGGGACGGTTTTTCCTTTGCAAAGTTTCGAAGTCGATGGTCTTCGCTTCGGGATCGTTCTCCTCGAACACCAGTTGTTTGTACTTTAGATCCTCCACAGGGCTGTCCTCGGTCGATCCTTGTTGCGTCTCTCTTCGAAACCTGTTGTTGTCGTGATTTCCCTTCTCGTGCTCCTTCCTCGTTTGCGAGCGGAGCGCCGTCAACGGATCCAGATTCGTGTCCTTTCGCAATCTCTCGAACACGACGTTGTCCGCTATTTCTAAACATTCCTCGTCGTTTTGACGATAAAAGTCTTCGAGGCTGGTGGATCGTTTAACTATCCTAGTTTTCGGATTCGGCGCTTCCAACCACTCGGTGCTGTTCCTTCTAACCATGCACGAAGTGGCCGGTGGTTGCATGAAGGCTAGGGGTAGAGTGAAGATGATCCAGCAAGAGAGGGAGGCGAGAAAGATCAATTTACCCTTCTGCCACCTGGAAGCAAATAAAGAAAATCGATGTCGTACTTCCCCAGATAAATTTGGAACTTGTGCAATTCTTATTACCCTCTAACCGAACGAATCGATAAAGGGTTGAAGCATTCCCTCTCTCGACTCTGCATAATCCACGCAATATTTTATTCTCTCGACTATAACATCGAATTGAGAAAAACTGTTTACACGTGCTGTGTATCGACCAAAAAAAAGCAGAAAGAGAAGAAGACACGGGAAGAACACGTTTTATAATTAGAACACTTTTCAATTATAACTGGGTCGATATCGAATATCGAAATCCGATCGAAAGTGGGAACTTCTCACCTGTCAGCCAACGAGCCCCAGAAAGGCGCGCTGAGGAATTCGATGAAAGGTCTGAGCCCCATCAGAAGGCCGCATTGGCCGGCGTTCATCCCCATCTGCTTGAAATAGACGCCCATCAACGGGAACAGGGAGCCGAACGCCGAGTAGAAGAAGAAATAGAACGTCTTCACCGTGAGCAGTTCTTGGTCCACGGAGCCGAACAGGTACTCGATCACGTCGCTTTTTCCACGGATCTTGTGCGTCGCCTCCTTCGCCTGGGGATAAAGGCTTGGGTCGACCTCGCCGTGGGCATGGGGGTCGACCATGGGCCTCACGCCTGGCACCTGTGGTAACGTTCTACCACCACCTGTCTCCTGTTGTTGCCCACCCTCCGTTGCCCCGTAATCGTAATCCTCGTGTCCATAATTCTGCATGACTGCTTCGGGGACTGACTCGGCCAAACGCGATTAAACAACTTGGATCGACTTCGCTCCCCCTCGAAACACTACTTTGAACGACACTGTCCACGAATCGACGTCCAGACGCTGGTGTCCAGGATCCAGGCAAAGATCGGACGTTCCGCGACCGATTCGGGCCCCGCCTTCCACCGACAACAACTTCCTCTCGAGTCGAACGGGAGAGAGAGAGGGAGAGAGAGGGGGAGAGAACGAGAGAGAGAAAAAGAGATTCGTCCGTGTCTCGAGTGTCGAGTCGCCTTTCGGGGATCGCCGAAGCTACAATCCTTTTACGACGAGCGTCGAATCGATGGCCAACCGCCGTGCCACCGCCGTGCTCGCGAAATCGATAGTCCTGACAGTGCGCCCGCGCAACTTCATCCCCTTGCGCACCCTATAGTCTCGACCGGTGGTGACACAACCACTAGCGATGGGCGCCCCTAGCCTATCGACGAGTTGCGATTGATATAATATTTTTTTGAATGATAATAACTTTGGATTTGTAGAATAATTTGTAATTAATGATGGAAATGGAAGAAATTTTAAATTTAATTGAAAACGTAAGGATTGGAGGATCGAGGAATTTTTTCGAAAATTTATTCATTCACTCGTGATACAATATTTTTTAAATGATAAATTAGGACTAGATTTGTTAAATAATTTGTAATTAATAATGGAAATGGAAGAAATTTTAAATTTAATTGGAAACGAACGTAAGGAGATTGGAGGATCGAGGAAATTTTTTTGGAGAAAACGAAACTTGTTCATTTGTACGATCTCTCGTGATATAATATTTTTTAAATGATAACTTTGAATGAGATTTGTAGAATAATTTGTAATCGATGATGGAAATGGAAGAAATTTGAAATTTAATTGGAAACGACGAACGTAAGGATTGGAAGATGGAAGAAACGAAGGATGAAAATTTGTAGTTCGAGTTTAACAAGGATTGCAGAGTAGATTTATCGGAATTTTCAAAGAAAATTGTTCGTAGGTTAAACGCGTCTCAAACCCTTCGCCCACTAATCCAATCGTGACATCTTAGGTTTTCCCCCCCCCCCC